GCAATAAATTCTAGGACAGTGTTGCTTGATTATCCCTGACAGTCTATAAAGATAGTCAGAGTTTCGACTCAAATTTAGAGTTTTGGAAATTTCGACTACCATACGAGATTAAATGCTCCCAGAGTATGAACTTATGACTCCCTCGTTTAAACTTCAAGACCTTTGATAATTTCTATGATTTTGGGTGCTGGTGTGTCCTATTTCACATTTTGAGTGTTTAAAAAAAGGTGGCAGTTTTAAATATCTTCTAAGCACTAGATATTTCCTCTCCCATGGTTTGTGCTGTCTTTTGTCATTAATTTTATTCTTTTTCATTACTTGCTGACTTTATATTTGAGAAAAAAAATAATTCAATCAATATTGATATTTTAAACCAAAACATATTGCTCTTCGCAATTTGAAGAGCATATAGGTAAATTTAAGGAAAGAAATCACTGAAAAACCATAAAATACTACTAGGGAATCGGATCTACTACCCCGATTCTCCAGAGCGTTCATCGAAAAGACAATATCTAGTTTAGCTCTCGATTATTGCATGTAATGTTTTTTGCATTATATTTTAATATATTTATGTAATATAATTAGCTCTTTAGCACCTATGATGAAGGTGGATTTGAGGTAACAACTGTAGTAATAATTGCATTAAAAAGATGTACACAAGTATAGCACTAGATTTAGATTTCTCAGAATGGATGGAAGTTGGGATAGCAAAAAAGATTTTATATCTGAACTCTGAAGTTGGAGATCTCAGAGAATTTGATCAAAATATGCGTCGTATATATAGGAATATAATTTTTAAAAAAAATTCGATTCCGAAATTCGGAGGTGTATTGAGTTTTTTCAAATTTCTTAAAACGGGGAGATGGGGAATTGGATTTTCGCTGCAATCCTGAATAAATCTTAATTTCTCATCATTTTTATACATAAATTATAACTTGAGCTCCAATGGCTTACCATTCTTGTAAAATTAAAAACAAGTAAATAAATCGGATAAATAAAGCTTAAGAAACTTACAAAATTTTCGAATCGAACTCTCTACCTTCATGCGAAAAGAATTTTCGCGAAAAGAATACCCCTTGCGAATACCTTTTGCGAAAAGAATACCCCTTGTCTTAAGTGGCTCCAACGTTTTCCCTTTCTCTCGTCATGATTTTTTCTGAAATTCCTGCTATTCTACTTTAAATTTCATGTTAATTTTTAAAATTTTATTTCTTTTTGTAAGTCCCCTCTGCAGAGGATCAAAATTGTGATGGTATGTCTTCGGATCATCCTCAGGGATGTTTCCCAGACCGTCGCCAATAGCCCATTATGCAGCTCTAGTGCGACGTAAATGAACAAATTAATCAATCAACAAATCAATCTTTTTGTTTTGAACATAGAAATCTCAAATGTTGTATATATTTCTAGTTCTGAAAGTAAGTGGTTTTAAACCTACTAAATTGTAATTATCAAGGACTCTAATGTTGTTGTTGTTGTTGTTAATTTACGTCGCACTAGAGCAGCACAATGGGCTATTAGCGACGGTCTGGGAAACATCCCGGAGGATGATCCGAATACATGCCATCACAATTTTGATCCTCTGCGGAGGGGATGGCACCCCCGCTTCGGTAGCCCGACGACCTGCACGCGAAGTCGAGCACTTTACGGTAGCACAGTTTAACGAGGACCAATACCGCACAGCCGCGGTCCATACGCAGACTGATCTAAGTGATCACCCACCCGCACACTGACCGTAGCCAGTGATGCTTGACTTTGGTGATCTGCTGGGAACCGTGTCTTAACGATCAGTCCACTTGCGAGACATCAAGAACTCTAAACACATGGTCTTAGGACTATCGGCAAACGCATCATATTGCTACTTTTACCACTACTCTACTGAAGTGCATCGCTCAGGACGTCAGAAATCAGGTGCCTGAGCGATATTCTAGCAAAATTTTTCACTCAATAAATTAATGACTCCAACTTCAGTTAAGAAACGTCATCTTTGGAATGCCTTCTTTGGTATAAAAGTCGTGGGTAAAACGTTTGTCAAATTACAGTAAGTTTTTATTTATTTTTAAACATAGTGGAAGCTTTCAATTTGGAAGAATGGCTAGGTAAATTTTCTCATGCCATGATTGTTTTAAATTTTAATACTAATTTATTATCTACTTGTGTTTTTGATATTGCTGTATATGTTAAGTTTGAAACGGATTCGTCTGGAAAAGAGTGTTTAATGCGTTGTTTGTAAAGGAATGCTGCGAATTTAATTCATCATTCTGGGAAGTATTTACGGTGCTTAACTTCCTTAAACTTGAAACTGTTTTTGAAAGAAGGAGTATTAGTTCAATTATTAGTAATGCATTGTTTATACCGTGAACTATTTTTATTGATGCATATCTTTTATGAAAAGCAATAATTAACCTATTTCTCTGAGCAATCTTCAAGATCAGTAGTTATTTAAATTTGAAATTTAATAGAATTCTAAAAAAATAATCGTAAAAAAATACTAAACTTTGTCTCAAACTAAAGAATTATCTTTCCGCCACATATATTTGTCAAATTTTAATTTTAGTTCCGTGGAGCTATGCTATGATTTATGAATATAAATCTTAAATTCTACTTTAAAAGTAAAACTTGCTAAAATCTAATTGCCTTAAGCTGTTAAATTTATAAGCTTTAATATGCACTTAACTTTTCTGTAAATTTAATATTGCTATTAGTTTTATTAACCAAATACCTTATTAAACTTGCAGTAGAAAACATATTCTTGTAAAATGTCACTTAAATGCAGTTTTTCTTGTCACTATCTTGACTTTTCATTAATAATCCATAGTAATCCTTTTACTTTTTCATAAACACAGAAGCGTAAGTTTTCATCACATAGAAACGACATTTGTTAATCCAGCTGGAGGAATAAAAGACAATAAAAATCCAGTAATTTTTCTGCATGCTATGCTGTGCTCTAAGGAAATTTGGACAAACATACCTCAAGCGGTAGCTAATTACACCGGAAGAAGGGTGAGTAAGAGTTTTTAGAATTGTCAGTTTATTTACATAAAATTCAGTTTTACCTGTAGTAAATTTCATACTAGAGTTTAAATAGCTAATACATTTTTGAATCGTCTGGGTCTTAAGTTTTGGTTCCAGATGATTAAAATGGAAACTACTCTTGAAAGATTTGTTTTTCACTCAAACTAATATTTAATAAAATTCACCTTTTACTATTAGTTTTTATTGTAATTTCAATATTGGTACAAAAATACTTACTTTCTTGCCTGTTTTGCAAAGAATTAAAACTTGCTAAAGCAATTTACTTTCAAATTTATGGCATTTGATAAATTAATCGCAACTATCAAAGTTGTGTATCTTTTGAAAAACATATCTAAACTATTAAATAAACGAAATCACTTTTATTCTTTAAAAACACTTGCATCTCTTTAAAATTTAATATATACATATTGTGTCTGTACTATCTTACTAAATTTTTTTACAAACAAAAAAATCTAACTACTAGACTGAAATTAACCCAAAAATTGGATATTACAATGCTAGAAAGCAGTTTATTTGGTTAGCCTCCAAAATTATACCGGATTGTTTAGTTTCAATGTAAAAAATGTGAGTGCTTTCAACTTTAATGTTCCATACGCTTGGTTTTAGTATTTAAGATCTTCTACAATTTTAACTAAATTTTAATGAAGTGTTTTAAATTCTATGTATTATAGGGTAATTGTATCGTATCTTGCTAAATCAAAACTCCGGTATATATAGGATAAGACTTTCGATTAAGTAGTCCTACCAACAGTCCTTGTAATAAATTTATATTTTAAATTCTAATCTCTTATCTGTTTTGCAATCCATAGGACAGTCTGTTTCAAAATGATTTTCCTAGGGTGAATCTTTATTTGCAATCTTAAAATGGTAAAATATATACTTTAAAAAGTTATTCAAATATTTAGAGTTATCATTGAGGAAAACTCTATGCATCCGTCTAATATTTTTCAAATCAAAAATATAGTAATGCATTGTAGTATATAACATTGTAGTATATATCCATTGTAGTTCATACCACTGACAGAATTTGAAACGAGACAGATCAACCTAATGTTTTGAAGAAATTCTAGTAAGTTTGGGGACAAGGTAGGGTTAAATGTTACTCTTGTTTTTTCGCAACTTTTTAAGGATTTTTGAGAGAAATTGCATTTTTACTGAACATTCCTAAGTTAACTCTAGGATGGGTTAAATTTTTAAACGTTACCTCATTTAAACAGGTTTTTGTACGTTACTGTCATCAGTACTGTCATATACACTATTACGTTTCTAAAGGTTTCTAGAAATTAAACATACGTTATGCATGCTGAGCACTTTCTAACTATGATATACAGTTGACAAAAAAAGTATTAGCACACTAAGCTAATTTAAAATTCTTGCAAGATAAAATGACCAAACTAATCCAAACTAGGATTTTCTTTACCTTTATTATAGTAAAAACAAAAGTAAGTGAAAATAAAAAGCACACTTGCTTTTACAGAATTTAAAACAAAAAAACATTATTATATTTTTNACTTTCTAACTATGATATATATCAAAATTTCAGATTGCAAAAAAATATGCATTTATAGCTTTAGAAAAGCTTAAAGACAAGGCTTTTGGTTTAGGTATTTTCAGAATGTTTGTTCAAAAAGACTTATTGGCAAAACTAGTGAAATTCATTAGATTCGCTTAGATAACGCTTAAAATTGCTACGAGGTTTAAAGCGATCTTTCTGACGTTTTGTGGCACGTGATTTACAGCTAATCATCATTACAAAGTTGTGAAGTAATATTTATTCAAACAATACATTACTTATTTTGTCCCGCTGAACTTGAGAGCGTATTGTTTTATTTTTCAGGTTTATACTTACGATGCCAGAAACCATGGTGCCAGTTCTCACACAGATGAGTCAAATTTCAAATTCAACGTTGATGATCTTTTCTGGGTTATGGATAAAATTAAAAAAGACTTTAAAACAAGCGAGAAAGAAATTCCAGAACAATTTGTTCTAGTGGGCCATGATATGGGCGGAATGACTGCCATTAGTGCTGCTTTGAAGGAGGTAAACATTAATTTTTATTCATAGTTAAATTTTTTGAATGTTTCCATGCAAAAGCAAAAACAAGCATCTGATTATGTGACATCGTTTAGAATTATGCTTCATTGTGAGAAAATGTAGGATTATAAGAGAAATTACCTTTTTAGATGAAATTTTTCTGTATTAAAAAAAATAAATTTCCATTTATTCTTTTTGAAATTGTATTTAGATTTTATATATGTTCGGACAGTTCTTTTTAAATTTAACAGATACTCTTTACCTGAGAATTCTCTGGGTCTCTTATTTTCCTGATTTTCATTTTAATATGCTTTAACTGAATTTTAAAAGTGCAAGAATTAGTGAGATAAATTTTTGCGCGAAATTAATCTTTGTTATCTATATATAATGTAAACTTAAAATGATTTGGATAAACAATGACTATTTACAAAACTAATACACGGTAGTTCAAAAAGACTTTTTCTCAACTGAAGTGTTTCGTTATTTCATATTCATGAAACTCAAACTGATAAGTGACAACATTGACCGATCAAAATTCAAAGGATTTTGAATCGAATATGAATAGAAATCTCTAGTGCAGTGTTTTATCTGCTAGTCTCACAAAAGTGGATATTCAATAATCGTTCAAAGCAGTTTAATAAGTTACTGCCTTGTAACAGTACTTTTTATGGTTTTTATTTTAGCTGAGGGGTGAGTTTAGTCATTGAGAAGGAGCTGAAGTTTATTTCAAAAGTTAAATCCAGCAGCAGTAATATACAGATTCTAAAAAGTCAATCAGAGCTATACATTTCTATAGATCTTCTGCGGTTCTTACTAAACTTTGAGTGTGCTAAAGTTGTGGCTTTAGTTTTAGTCTACTATTTATTTCATGTAAATTGAGTCCCTGCAACTTTTATAAAGAATCTTACTGTGTTGTGAAATTCTGAATGTGCTGTTCCTTCATTTAAAATGCACGTATCTTAGGGGATTAAAAATAATTTTATAGTATATTTCAACTGAGATTTTTTATTTAAACGAATAAGTAAAACTTGAAATTAAAGCTACTTTTTGCTTCTCATTTGCAATCGTTATAAAATATTTTAATTGAGTAATTATAAGCTTAGTATTAAAATAAAAAAAATGAACGTTCTACTGACCTAAAATTACAGTTGGTACAGTTTTCAGAATTTTGTCTTCCAATTAAACCCAAATAAGAAGTTACGGTTCATGTTTTCTGTTGTAACTACTGGTCTAATGTTGCGTGTTTCTAGTAATCTTCAGTTCAATTCCTGTGTTTAAATTTTAAGTTTCTGGCATGAGTTTGACAAATCTGTATCATTATATACTCTCTTTGATGTACTCTTTGTATCATTATATAAACTCTCTGGAAACTATTCAGTAATAGTTGCTTAAGGATTTATCCTTCAGAAAGGATTTAAATGCACTTTTTTTAACCAGAAGTTTAAAGTGCATTTGTTTTACAATACTTTGAACTGTTACTAAAACTGCTTTTTCCTCTTTAGCCCAATAGCTTCGAAAAGGTGATCATTGTAGAAATGTATGCCAAAAGAGTGCCAGATTATCTCATTGACCGTGTTAAAGACTTCGTAACAGAATGGACTAAATGCGTTCGAGAACTTCCCAAAGAAACTCCAGAAGAGGATGTGACTAGAATAAGTGTCGAGAATCTCTACAAAAATCTGCAGTTTGTAAGTTCTACTTTACGTGTCAATTTACTCTAAATATCACTATCAGATTGTATTTTAATAATTCACCTTATTCAAGAATCAACTGTTCCGATAATTTCCGAAAGAAAAACGAGCAGAAATAAATCACTACTAATCTCTTCTTGGCACGAATACTTGGCTGAGGTAAATTCGCTTAAAAAACATTAGATCAAACTAATGCCATCTCTTAAACAGAAATGTTTGCTATATTTAAAGTTGTATGCTGGCATTACTTCCCATGTTGCAGATTAGTTTAACTTTAAACTAGTAGTTTTAGAATGAGACTGAGGTGATAAATATTAGTGAACGCTTTGAATTGCTATTAATTGAGTAATTTAACACCTTGATGAAATTTGTCGTAATCCGAAGTTAACTAGTAATTATCTATAGTACATCAAACCTTTAAAAAAGATGTATCATTGGACTTCTAACACTTTAGTTCCGTCCAGTTTCCTAAATCAGATTAAGTATTTTATGCTTCCGTCTTTCTTAATGTCAATCGCCTGCTGTCAATCTTTCAAACATATTTTTTGACGCCTTACTGTCCTCTTTATATTAAAAACATAAGTTTAAATAGATTTTTTCCCACAATGCCGAATTCTGCAACAAATCCTACATTAAAAGCTCTTTACAAGATGCGAGGGAATTTTTTAACATAATATACACTCTTTCAAATTCTGTATGCAATATTATGTGAGAACATCTGTCCTTGCTCCGATTACATAGAAGAGCCTGTGATGTTAGATAAGTGCGTGTTCCTCGAGCTATGCTTTAACTTTTGATAATTTAATTTAAAACTATTTCTTAGTCTCAAATGCAAACCCGAAATTCGGTTTAGTAAAATTTGTTTTCGGCTATTACAAACTGTACAATTAAGTCTCCGGCCTATAATTGTTTTTAAGGTTCTAGTATCAATTATATACATGAAATTTATAATCTCATGGTTAAGATACGAACTATACTTACTGTTTAAAACTAAACACGTTGAGTTTACCTCATTGCCTTAGCATTTTGTTTACCCATAGTTGTAGCGAACATTCAACTCTTAGGATAAAGCTCTTAGTCTTTAGTCTTCCTTTATTGAAAATTTACCTACGAGGTTATAAGTTTTTATTTCTTAAGGAAAAATACATTATATATACCTTCGGTGAAGTCTCAACCAATGTAAATATAAATGTTTTTAAACGCACTAGTACATGGCGTGTCAAATTTTGGATTTTTGAAGAATAGTCCTCGCAACACTCTGTTGAAATAATTATGCTATTTTTACCGGCGTAATTTTTTTTGTAAACTCCTTGTAAGAATAAAATTATGGCCTGGCCGGTAGGGCGCTGGGCCCATGTTCGTGGGTTCGAACCTCGCTGGCCGAGGACTCCCACGTGGAGTAAATGGTGACTGGTGCACGTTAAATCTGTCGAGTCGCAAAGTCCTCTATGTTCCCATAACAAATCAATACCTTTGAGGGTACTGGATAGGAGATTGATCGTTCTCTGATTCAGGTCAAAATTACGATCTGTGGATGAATGGGTCCGCCCTATAAACGGGTGTGACGTATGAGTGGGGTAGAAGTCTAATTCTTCCATAGATGGCGCCACTGGAAAAACAAGAACAATCTCACCCCTCTGCCTTAACAGGCATACGTAAACAACAATAAAATTATAAAGTAGAATAATACTCGAAGAATTTAAGGAGATTCCTTTACGATCGGATATGATTAATTTTTAAACAAATTAGAGATCTCTTATTGTTTGAATTCCCAAATTTTCTGCTTTGTGACCATTTTTTAAGTTTACTTTAGATCATGACCTGCAAGGATTAAATATACTGCATTGGCTTCAAAAGTAGAAGCAATGTTTCAAGCGCAAATTTTTGTTCCTCATTCACGTCTGGTAACTCTTGAATGGGCTCTTATTTATGGGCGATTGGAACTTGTCAACTTGTTTTAAAATTTCATATCCATTTTCACCAAATAAACGTTTTAATCGATACTATTATATAATTTAGCTCCTTTTTTCCGGTAGGAGGAACTTAATTGGCATAAAATTCTATACATTATTTCTACTTTTTCTATGAAGTACTTAACTGCATTCATGTATCACGGAATACCGTTTCATTTACAGCAAGAAAATAACGAAAAGGAGTCCTACAAGCAAGGAAAATTTAGTTATAAGAAGACAGAAAATGGATGGGAGCCACAATACAACACTCCAGCTCTAGTTAAGGCTCTCGACGAACTTAAGAAGGAGCCCGAAGATTACATTGGAACATACAATGGACTTGCTTCTTTCCTCTATGGCACTGCATCTCATTATAGAATGTTAGTCTTCATTTTAATAATTATAAAATGCTAGTCACATTCTGTTTTAAAACTTAAATAGATTTAGTTTCGCAAGCGAATTTTTTATATCAAATTCGTGAATCTCTCACTCAAAGTTTTTAATACCCATGATATAGAAAACTTAATTGACTATTTAATGTTTTAAATCTTTACTCTTTAAAATTTTATATATAACGTTCTTTAAATTGCTAACTTAAAAGAATAACTTTAACTAGTGTTTTGTGATATTGCGAACTAAAAAATCAATGATAAATGAAGTATACAATCCAAAGTATAAGAGTATATCCCAAAGTATGTATTTTTAAAATTCCGACATTGTAATTTCTCACAATATTTCAAGATATGTTTTTGCACTTCGATTTAAACTAGCAAAACATTTGTACTTTGAAATTATAAAAATGATGTGGCATATTTTAGTTTTTTCGTTTCTGTTATAAGATATCGAAGTTTTGTAAATAATAAAATTCCATCAATATTTTACGAGTGTTTAACAAATTTTTGAAATTGTTAGGAGTTTCATAGTAAAGTTAAGCCGGTATCTGGGAAATAACCCCCCACTTGCTTAGTCCAGTCAAACGAACAGTCCTAAGTTCGGACCCATTAATGTTTTATTTTTTACATATTTTGCCGTATCTCTGAGCAAATATTTTTCAATTAGCTTAAGTTAAATATATTAGTTACCCCAAAGGTAATTATGTGCAAAAAGGTTTAGTAAATATATTTTGTAATCAAAGATTTTTAATTGTAAGGTATTAATTTTTAAATTTTGAAACACGTTATTTTGAATGGTAAGTTACAAAACTTGAGCGGAATCTGAAGTTCTTGATAAAAAGAATTTTGTAGATGTCTTATATTTGAAATCTCAAACTGCTCAAAAAATTTCGCCGTATAAAATTAAATATTTTTTAAAATGATGTAAAAATTATATACATCACAATTCTTAGATTATTAATATATATTTAAACTTTAGCGCTGAATTATCCTTGGATGACCTAATTTTATAAATAGGAAATTTTCAATTTTCTGTAAACAGTAAATCATCAAGGGGTCTAAACTTTGAACTGCACTCTTGACCAAACTATGGGGATCATATTTCCTAGATTTTGGCTACCCCATATGTGGGGCTAGGTCAAATCTTAGTCTAAAAAGGTCTTTATTCAGAGAAAGTATGCTCTTGTGTGGTTTCGGAATTTAAAATATATTATGCTGTAATTAACATGTTTGAGTCACCCCCCTCAAACCATTAAATTGAGTCCTGTAACATGGAGGTCTGATAATTAGATCAAAAGTTAGCAAAGATTTTTTTTGTTTACTATTTGTTTAAACTGTTACAGCAATGAAGTATAGTTTATTTTCAAACAGAAGGGAAATCGCGATCTCTGAGTTAGAAGCAGACTACTCGTGTCATTTTCTTGCACTTTTTTCAGGGCTTCAACTCTCTAAATGGTTAACAGAATTAAACTTAATATGTGATACTGTGTGGCAGCTTTGAATCCCTTACCATTAGGCTTTATTTACTTTTCTCTTAACTTTTTGTTCATCTTTAATTAGACTGGTACTTCTATTTTATGATCTTAGAAATGATAAAAAAAATAACGTTACTGATTTTGAAATTTTGTCCCTGTACTAATCTTTTTTTTTCTTCCAGAAATGCAGAGGAGAGATCTCTGAAGGAGCATTTTCCAAATGCAGAGCTACAACCGCTCCCTGAAGCTTCTCATTTCTCTGTTGCAGACAAGCCCACTCAACTGGCTGAGAAGATTAGCAAGAGTATCAATATGATTTGTATTTCTGAACGGATTATATGAAAGCTGTATATTCTATGTAAAGTATTTTTATACGAATTGTTTGTTTACTAAGCAAAGCTGTGAAGATTTGGATTATATTTTTCCAGTAAACTCGTGTAGTCCTAAATTTCGAACATTCCAGCACACTTTTATACTATGTAGTTTGAATTTAATATGTACATTAACTTAATAAACAGTATTTTGCATCTTTCCTGGTACTTGGCCTTTTTTAATCAATTTTTAAAACGGAACATGCATCTGAGTAAGTTCCTGCTTTCTATTTTAGTTACAGCTGTAGCTGTTTAAATCTGATATTTTGACTTCGTATCGCTTAATTTCCAAGCTACTCCCCCCCCCTCTCTCTGAATTCATTAGCTTAAATGCAATGCCAGCCCTTAATAATTCAATAATTTTCATACAATACCATAGAACTGCAGACTACTTTTTTAGCGAACTAATTTAAAATTTATTTTATATTCCTAATTTTCTTCCGAACAACTTTAGTAAAAATTTAAGCTGTTTATTTTGAAAAGTCTGAAACTGATAAAACTGCTGTAAAGTTAGCGCGAAAGAAAATCTCAACACTAAGTGACTTCGATAGACTTAGTCATTCAAAGACTCCGCAAGTAGTAGGCCTTTTACGAAATTTTAATTTTTGTATAAAAGCTTCTGCATTAAAATTTGAATTATAATATTTATGAAATTTAATTATAATGGGGGTCATGGTACAGAATTAAAGTTTCATTCTTATTTCTATTCAGTGAAAACAACACTTTTATGTTAATCTGATTAATTCTTGAATAGTAGCATTGTTACTCGAAAAGTGCTTTTTTTCAACTCAAATCGCAGTTTCTTAAAGTAGTTTTTCGATTATTTCGTCTTGATGTACAAAATTTCAACTTGCCATTAACATGCATGAGTTAAATATCCGTGCAAAAATAAGTTTTCTTGTAAGGTTGAGCTATAAATTCTTTATAGTTCGCACAATTCAGAATGTTGTGAGTTGAAATTTTAGTCTTATAAAGAAGATTTTGGCAAACTCAATAATTTGTTAAATACGAAATTCTTCAATATATATGTACTGATGACTGGATTATCTTTTCAGTGTTTTGTTTTAAATATTTTTGAAAATGTCTTATTGTACTGACTTCTCCTCTCTTCATTAATCTTTATTATATTTTCCATGTTTCCTCCATATTTTCAACTTATTTTATGAATTTTATATGCTTGTAACTTATGCAAAGTATATAAATCTTATTAATTTGCTTAATTTTCTTCGTTTTTTCTCTTTGTTTTTATCCTTTTTGTCTTTATTGTGCTAGATGCATAGATGGATCGATGGATAGATATTGGTTTTAAGCCATGTCCCGGTTATTTCTCGTTGCCCTGTAAAATTTACTTTTTTATATTCTTAAAAACTTAGTTCAAGAAAGTCATTTTATGTCCTGTAAATAACTATTAAATAGATTGCAAGTTTTAATAATTTTTTTAGTGTTACAGAATTTAAGACGCTCCATTATGCAACATCCGTAATTCATTATTTTCTTTACTACTTCATGCATGATGTGAAAAATGAAAATAATTAATCATATCATGCATGAAAAAACCATTCTTGCTTTTAAAAAAACCATAAAACTATTTCAAGAAAGACCAACCAATTGTGAAAATTTCGATATATGAGGTCTGCAACATTTTTGACACGTTTTTCTACAATGTAAAAAAAATGACTAAATGATTTATATGACGCCCTTATACAACCGTTACAAGTATTTGAATTTGAAAATATTTTTAACTTATTACCACTGAATTACCCCAAATGTTCGAATTAAATCTGATAAAAGTTTCAAAAACTCAATTTAAGTTTTTCGTAGGTTATTCCATTTGTATGCTCTAAATATCATCTTTTAGAATGCAGAATACAAGTCTCCGCTAGAAAATTTACGAACTTATAAAGGGCTCAGAAAATATAGAAATAAAGGACTTGTTTAAAAAAATAATTAAATGTTCGGATCTTTTGAAATCTGATGCATTTTTAACATATTTGTTTACTGCCCTCGACTTTATTTTTCAAAATGTGGAGTACCAGTTTACCAGTGGTACCTTATACATATTAGTTAGTAATCTTCAGAGATTTGAGAAATACCAGCTTAAATTCTCAATGCTCAAATACATTATTTTTTTCTTAATTGGGAAGAATAAAATTAAATTAATGAGAAAAAAATTCACTCAGTTTCTAGTTGTAAAATTGGCTATTTCAAGGACAAAATTTTTGGAGAAATTATTTAAGATATTCTAATGCATGAAACCAGATTTCTGTAACAAACTAAAGTCTTATTCAGAGATCTTTACGTTATATTTAAAGAAAATAGTCACTGTTTTTCTTTAGAAAACTAAACTCATAAATTTTTATCAAAATGGAATTTTCAATTAATGTCAATCTTACTTTATTCCAAAACGTGAATTACCCAAGCAAATTGAAATTTGATTTCTTTTAAAATGAGATTTGTTTCTGTTTTTTTAATATTTTTATTTAATTCTGCTTTAAATTGAAATATTTGTGGAATAAAAGCAGATGGATATATATTTGCTGTTTAAATAATTCCTCAAATAAGTAGTTTTCTACTAACCCAATTACCAATTTTAATTCAGTTTTTCGTCAATCAAAAATGTAATTAAAGAAGAATATTTAAATAAAGCACACAGAGCGATCTACTCAATCTTTCAAAACGCGTATTTTTAATATTTAATTAAATATTTTAAAAATGGATGTTTTTCATTAGGGATAAAAATCTCATTTATTTTTAGAGAGTTTGAAATGTTTCCAATGTAAAGATATAGAACAATTTCATAAGATTCCCCAAAAATTTTGTTGCACTAAAAAAACTATGTTTAGATTACTTCGATTATTTATCAGTTCTAGGAAGTTATTTTTAAATTATAATTAAAATGTTTAAGTTTAATACTTCACTACGCGAACAATTTTATTATTTGAGAGTCAAGTGATTTAAATCAGTTTCAATTGGATACTTGTAAGCGACGTCATGCTAGTGGCGTGGTGAACCTAATTGGCTTTTGAATTGACAGATGCCACAATTTGCCTACGATGTGACGTCATTTGCAGTTATCCAATTTAAAACTACTGCCAATTTTGTTTTAATATTCTGTTTTAGAAGTGATAGTTAAAATGAAAGAAATTAACCTCGAGAATAAAATAAAAAATTATGTTCGTATAAACAACTTGATTAGTTGGGGTTTGTTGCGATGAAATGTGATCAAATCGCTTTTTTATTTGATGAGCAGTTCTCTTTCTCATCTTTTTCTTGTTCTGCTGGGTTTTATTGCAAGGTTACAAAAAGATACTCATTTTCACGACGGTCAGTGTTTAATATGGAGTGTCTTAATAAACTACAAAATCAAAGAAAAATGAAAAGAGATAATAATTAACACTTAACTGATCTCTGCTTAAGAAACCAGAAAACCTTCAAATGAGGTGACTCAAGTTCGAATTCCAGGGGTGGTAGGTTCATGCAAATTTTGCTCCCAACTCACAACGATCACATTGCTAAAAAAATATCTTCAGTGATTGATGGATCGTGAGTTAGAATCCTTCTTGCTGTTGGCCGGGGTCTTCGAGGTTTTCCTCTCTATGTTACGTAAATGCAGGCTAGCTGCATCAAACATTCCTCTATTAAGACTACTTGGCCAAAATATTCGATCCAGGAGTTCATCTTTTTCTGGGCTGGATTCAAATTAACGAGACTACGGATTTGAATATCGGTAGTCTTAAACTTAGAATAGAATTAGCTATTCAAAGCTAATTTTATAATAAAATAATTGACATTGCATTGCTTCGCATCATTTTAAAAATTACATATACCTATATTTCAATGAGATGTCACAATATTCTTAACATCAGCTTTTATCATATAAAACTCCTCGAGAAATACCATGGCTTTTAATTACGGAATAAAATATTTATTCCCTACCAAATAAAATCTTTATCTATTCCTTACCATACAAAATATATGATTTATTGTTGCTTAAAAACGTAGTTGCTTAAAACATTATTTAAAATCCATGTCTTAATGTTGCTTCTGATGCAAAATAAAAAAATTAGTACAGATATTTTTTTAATTCTATACTTGCTATTTTTCACATAAATTATTATAGACATTATTTCTTAATTTGATTTGTAGAGTCATTATTTATTTTCAACTACTCACTGTTTAAAGTTACAAATAAGGATCTAAAAGAAGTATTTCAAAACTATTTCTTTTCTTATAAAGTATACTGGTTAATAGTTAGGACAAGAAATTACAGAAAATAGTAGCTTCTCTCACGGTCTTATCTTCTTTATCGTGATTGATTTAACAGTAAGGTTTCCAATTTTTTTTTCCTTTTCCCTTTCTTTTCTATTCAATCTTACATATCCTGTTTTATTATTCATTGAACTTTGGAGTTGTTCATGTCAAAGGGATAAAAGTATCAAACTGGATGCCCGAAGAATAAGAGTATCGAAAAGAAGATGTTGAAGATAAGGAAGATGAACGAAGACAAGATAGTTAAATATTGACAAATTATTCATTGGCCGAAAATATTTGTTGAATATGCTAATTAGTTTGGAACGTATTTGTCTGGTCCTTGATTACCGAAGAATTTAAATTTTTCTGTTTAATTGCTTTCTTGCGATAAATCTAAAAAAAAAATGTCAATATAAAAAAAGTTATAAACTCTCTCTTTCTTCCTCCCTTTATATATATATATATATATATATATATATATATATGCTTTCTTAATAAATCTAATAGCACGTAATGTATTCTTTTGACAGAAAGTTTTATGTCACTATACAATGATACCATGATACCAGAAAACTCTCCTAGTCTTCTCTGTATGCGTTTGTCTTTTTTGAGAGAAATGGGTATAATTTGCAGGGGAGAGTTGAATAATATAAATAATTGGCCATATATTATTATAACCTTTCTCAAATGTTATAATATACAGTCAATGACTCTTTTGAGCATGTCACTATATACTCAATACTGATTGCATGGGGTTTTTTAAATTAGAATATATTTGCTTCAAAGCTATTTTGACACACCTTTTCACAATTTTGATAAATCTTTTATTCTCTTATAATGACAGAAATTTATTTAAAATATTAAAATTGTAAAAATATTTAAAATAGTCTAATGTCCTCAGTTTTCTTT